GAAATTGTTAATCGAAATTTTTTTTTTTTTTTTTTTTTTTTTTTGTACGGGGAGTCAGTCGAACGTGGAAAATCATTCTTCGGATTCGAATTTTCATTCATTCATTCATTCATTCATTCCAAATTAATTATTTGATTGTTTACTTCTTGTATTACAAATTTTTTTAATCACCTGTTAAAAGGAAAAAATCGTATTTTCTCGCGAGAAAAAAAAAAAAAATTTCAATTAATTTGTTTTTTTAACGGAAGTTTGTTTATTCTAATGTTCGTGTGTGATTTTTTTTAAGCTTTTGTTACTCTATGATTTTTTTTTTACGAGATGAAATGAAACGTTTTTTAAATGTTTAACAAAAGTTGGTTGCTGTTGGTTGCTGTCGGTTGTCGTTATTGTTGTTTTATTAAAAGAAAATGAAAGAAACCGTTTGAAAAATTTAATTTATTGTTTGATCTTTAAGCTTTTTAATGTTTCTCTCTATCTCTCTCTCTCTCTCTCTCTCTCGCACGTTTTTTATTAGACTTCAAGGTTTATTAATAAGACTTTGTTAAGCAGACGATATTACTTTACGAAAACTCACGTGAACGAAACGAAATCGTTTTTCTCTCTTTTTTTGTTAGAGCATCGACACACGAGATTATGTTTCTTTGTTACTAAAATTAAAAGATTTGTTCTAGAAAAAATGGATAGATAGAGAGAGAGAGAGAAAGAAAAGGTAGTTTTTTTTAAGGGGGGAAGAAGGAAGAGAGAAAAGTGTATTGGTTTTTTTTTAGGGGGGAGAGAGAGGGGAAACGAAAGAGAAAAAATTAACAATATTAAATTATGTTTAATGTGAACGAGTGCGCGTGTGTGTTGAGAGTTCGTGATGCACGCCTCGTTTGTCGTTTGTTTTCTTTTAAATTTTATTTTATTCTTGGCAAAAGAATTTACTGTAATTTTTATTGTTTTTCTTTTTTTTTTTTTTTTTTTTTTTTTTTTTCGGTTGCATCGATTGAGTTTTTCTTTGGTTTTATTCAAGGTCGGAAAAATAAATGCGGAGGGGAGGGAGGGAGGGAGGGGTGGGAAAGCACGCGATCGTAAAAAAATTTTTTTGTTTTTTTCAATGTTTTACACGAAACCGTTTTTTTTTTTTTTAAATGGGAAATTTAAAATTTTGTCGTAGTCGTCCCCCGCCTTCCCCCCTATATCCTTGTAGTGAAAAAATTTTATTATTATTATTATTATCAATGATTTTTTTTTTCTTTTTCCTTTGGTTCGGTTGAAAAAGATAAAAGGAAAAAAAAAAAATTTTCACGCTTGAATGAAAAATTTGCGAAGAATTCTTTTCGTACGTACGTTTTTGTGACATAAAAATTTTTTCGGTGTGTGTGAGTGGGGGGGGGAGAGACCTCACAAATTTCCCCCCCCCCACTTTTTCCCACGGGATAAATTTTTCGAATTTGGAAAACTTTTGGAATTTTTTCATTCGTTTATTTTTATTTTTTTGACTTTTGAATCACACGTAATAAAAAGTTTTTTTTTTTTAAAATTTTTCGAATCGAGAGAAAATTCATTTTCTATCATAATTATTATTATCATTATTATTATTATTATTATTAATTTAATCGAAATTTTCTTTTTTGTTATAAAAAAAAAAAAAAAAAAAAAATGGGTCAATTTTTTTTCGGTTGCGATACGATCGTAAGAAAAAACGAAAACGAAAATGAAAATTGTTCGTCGTTTAATGTCGAAACTTTCTCTCTTATTTTAATAATAAAAAAAAAAATTTTATTTTCGTCGAAACGTCTTTTCCCTAACGTTTTTACGTCACGTCATAAAAACACAAAATTTAATTTTTCCAGAATTTTCCAAGTTGAAATTCATTCACGACGACGACGTCACATAAATGTTATTTTTTTCCTTTTTTTTTTTTTTTTTTCAATTCTTTTGCGTAGGCGTTTTCTCATTTTTTTTTTTTTTACGTAACGAGAAAATTTTTTTTTCAAGTTTAAATACGTCGAAAACGTCATGAGTGAGTGAGAAAGAGTGAGAGAAAGAGAGAGAGAGAGAGAGAGAAATTGCGATAAAACACGCACACGCACATTGCCGTAAATGAATGCGTAAAAAAAAAAAAAAAATTAAAGCGATTAATCGATCGATCGATCGAAGAGTTTTTTAATTGATCGAACGATGTATCGATTATCGATCCGGTGAAAGAAAATAATGAGAAAATTCATATTTGAATGCTCACGTAATTATTATTATTATTATTATTATTTGTTTTTGTTCGAAAAGATTTTTGGTCGATGTAAAATTTTTCCACTCGGTCGAATTACATTTTTTGATGACGTATGAATGAGGAAAATAGAAGAAAAGGAAAAAAGTTTTCCTGTCTGTCGTCGTCGTCGTCATTTTCGTAACCTTCACACGCCCATAACGACAAAATTCGTTTCTTCTGCTAGCAAAAAAAAAAATTTTTTTTTTTAAATCGATAGTTGTTGAACTTGGCAATGAAAGCAAAAAAAAAATTTTTATTTTTATTTATTCGTAACGAATTTTTGTGGTGCGATGATAATAAATTCGTATCCGTTCGCAAACGTTGTGAAAGGGCGGCGTTCGACTTATGGCGTTCTGGGGCGTGAACGAGAAACGTTATTTAGCTTTGTTAAAAAAAAAACGCAAAAGGTGGATCATCATCATCATCACCGTCGGTTAAATTTTAAACGAAAACGTTCGAAACGTCAAGGAACGGATGATAATTACGATGGTAAAAATAACTTTTACAATTAAACGGAAAAGGAAATGGGTTTTCGTGGGGGAAAGGAAAGCGAAAGAGAGAGAGAGAGAGAGGGAGAAAGGGAGACGTGGCAGGAGATATCGGATAAGATGAAAAAAATAAAAATTTATTTTTTTTTTATCGTAGAATTTTTCGAACGTGGTGGTAGTAGTAATTATTCATTTTCTACTCCTTTTCTCATCGGCTAATGTAAATTTTGCCAATTTTTTTTTTATTTTCCTGGTACCTGCAGGTACCCGTCGGTAAAATTAATTTATTTACAGCGAGAGAAAACGCGTACGTATCATCATCATCATCGTCATGTTTTAATTAATGAATTAATATATTTTTAATTAAATAGAAAAAGAAAAAAACATTATTATTATTATTATTATTATTATTATTATTATTATTATTATTTAAACGAATTTTATTAATGTAGAGAGAGAGAGAGAGAGAGAGAATGTTATTAATTTTTTCGAATGGTTTACACAGTCAAAGTCCTTTGGCCTATAGGCTATTAACTCGTGTTTTCCCTCTCTCTCTCTCTTTCTTCCTCTTTCTTCCTCTCTCTTTTTCTTTTCAATCTGCGGCAATGAGAAAATTAAAAAAAAAAAAAAAATGGCACGAAAACGTTGGAAATGATTTTCTTATAGTTAGATTAATTAATTTAAACTCTCGCGGAAGCAATTTTTCGGTTGCATTCTGTACACATTCACGAAGAGTAATGACGTCGTACGGTTGCGTTGGTTACGCTTGCGTATTGCGTAAGGTACTATACCATACGACGGTTTAAAAAAAAGTTTAATTTCAGGTACGCTTAAGTCAAGACGTATGGCAATGGAAGAAGTTACTTAACATAATTTCAAGTTCACGTTAGTTTTTCTTTCTTTTTTTAGAATTAATTTCGGTCACTGGACAAAGCGTTAAATTGAAGTCTTACTTTACGGATTACCAACAATCCACGTCCGGCAACTTTTGAAAAAAAAAAAAAAAAAATTATATTTAATATTTTTTGTCAAAATTATTTCGCCATATTTGTGGAAAAAAAAAAAAAAAAAAACGGAAAGGTATTTTAATTCTTGTAATATTTTAAAATGGTCTTAATATGGAGAGTTTGTTGTTGTTGTTGTCGTTGTTGTTATTGTTGTTGTTGTTGTTGTTTTTGTTAGGATTTGAAAATGTCGTCATTTGGGAGTCGTCGTACCTGATATTGTGTATATCGTAAATCGAGTTCGATTCATTGATGTTAATCACGACCGGTTTAATGGGTAAACTCGATCGACCCCACAAGCCCCCTCCCCTCCCCCCGAGGATATGTTTAGTAAAAACGACTTTTCTTTTTGCGTTAATTGGCCTTTTTTTTCTGTACCACCCGAATGCGTTCTTTCATTTATGTCAATCATGTGCGTTGGACGACACGTGAGTTTCTCGTGTGCCCACACGAGTTTGTCGTAAAAAAAAAAAATTGGGTCATTTCCTTTTTTTGTTTTTGTTTTTATTTAATTGGTAATTTGCGAAGGTTTTGTTTCCGGTTTTTTTTTTTCTAATGGTTTATGTTTTATTTTCGAGAAAAAAATAAAAATGTGGGATTTGCAACATTAATAACGATGATGATGATTATGATGTAAAGGAAACGAAACGAAACGTCGTATTTTCGAAAATTCATGTCACGTGATGTTTGTTTAATATAGATTCGGATGCACCTGGTTAAAAACCACCTGCCGTCAAATCGATTGTCAGGATTTTTGTTTTTTTTTTTTTAGTGAACCGTGTAAACAAGTCGACGATGATTTTCGTCGAAAATCACGATGGTTTGTTTTTGTTTGTTTGTTTGTTTGTGGTCACGTGGATGTAAAGGTATTTTTTGACCGTTTTTGTTTGTGTCGGGTAATTAAACACGACGACGAGGTAGTCGTCGTCGACGTCGTGGGAAATCACCCAGTTTGGAAAATGAAGACATAGAAAGTGAAAAAAAAAAAAAAAAGTTTTCGCGTTGATTACGATCAGAATAAACGGAGAACAAAGATGAGAATAAAGTTTTTTTTTTTTTTTTTTCACTTTCGAAAAGAAACGGTAATATATGGTTTTAATATTTTTGTAATTTTTTTTTTTGTTTTATTTTCAGGTAGATATGGCTCTTTCATGACGGTTACTTTCGTGAGTGCCAGAAAGGTACGAGAGTGCGGCAGCGGCAGCGGCGGCGGCGGCGGCGGTGAATTGTCACCGCGTAGGTTGCCTTCAAGACAGAATGCACTATGCTGAAATGCCACAGGACGTCTCTTGTGACAGTTTGTCGGCTTACAGAGCCGTAGAGAAAACATATCAAAACGGGGATTGTTCCGAACTCCGATTGGAACTCCAATTACCCGAAGATGCTTACGTCAAAAAGAAAGGATTCAACAAAACGGTGGAAAAATCACCGGAAAAAGGAAACGCTTTTCACGCGGCTAAAAACATCGTAACGAGACATTCATTTAGAAATGGCGAAAACGGTTCGAATTTTCAATCTGGTGAAAATCGGAAGAAAATCTCGGCTCCGGCCGTTTTCTGCGGTTATTCGAAAGTTAATTTCGACGACGAAAAGTAAATACAAAACGAAAGCATCGTAATATTATTATTATTATTATCATCATTATTATATTTCGTCGGTTTTTCAGGTCTCCAGTTCCTTCTCGTAGCAAATCTCAGAGTCTTCCGACGTCAGCACTGGGAATCGATTCGTACGATCTCATCGTCACGGACATTCTTCGCGTGTCACCCGAAGACTTTGCCACTCAAATAACGCTCCTCGATCTTCCCGCGTTCAGAGGCATAACTTTGGAAGAATTACAGGGATGCGGTTGGAATAAGAAGAACAAACTCGTCGTCGCACCGAACGTCGTCGCTTTCACCCGACGATTCAATCACATTAGCTTTTGGACGGTTCAAGAAGTGTTGAACGCGTCCGCTCTCAAACGGAGAACGGAAGTACTCGTTCACTTTATAAAAATTGCTAAAAAACTCTACGAGTTGAACAATCTTCATTCGCTATTCGCGATATTGTCCGCTCTTCAATGTGCGTCCATATACAGGTTAGGATTCCTTGGATGTTTTAAGAAAAGTGGTTACTTACGATGACAAAACAATTACTGTCGTTCGTTAATTACCTTTAAGAGAAGAAGGTGAAAGGAAAGAGAAAGAAAAAAAAAAAACGTTAAAACTTAATTTGAAATGTTTTTTTTTTTTTTTTTTTTTTTTTTTTTTGCAAAGGTGGAGACCTCTGCGTTTGTTTGTTTGTTTGTCTGTTTGTTTTTATTCTCTTAATTTCTACTCTAAGTGAAATGCATTGAAAATGTAATAAAATTATAAAAAATCGAACTCGTTAACGGTTTTTAATGATACTTTTACGAATTGTTTTTTTTACCCCCCCCCCTCTCTCTCTCTCTCTCTCTGCCTCTCTCTCTCGAAAGTTACATTTAAAAGTTATTAAAAAAAAAAATAATAATAATGATTGTAATTTTTAATCACGTGCTTAAACGTAATCGTAATCGTACGTTTTTTTTTTTTTTTTTATAGCGAGTTCGTTATCGACGTTCTTTCTCTCTCTCTCTCTCTCCCTCCCTCTCTTTCTTTCTCTCATTTTCTTCTCTCCTTTAAGTCAGCAAGGAAATCACTCATGATGAATGATAGGGAATGACTAATGAAAAAAAAAATGTTTTTTTTTTGTTTTTGTATTTTCAGGTTGAGCAAAACATGGAGTCACATATCGAAAAAGGATAAGCAATCGTTTGATAAATTGCTTGACGTATTTGCAGATGCCAACAATTGGCAAAACCTTCGGGAACATTTGGATTCGCTTAAACTTCCTTGCATTCCTTATTTGGGTACGTACCAAAAAAAAACGATTTTTTTTTTTGGGGGTACGTCGTCATCATTATTATTAATGTTGTTTTCCTTTTTTTTTTAAAAAGGTTTATTTCTAACCGATCTCGTGTACATCGACATGGCGCATCCTCAATCCGGCGGCCTAGAATCCGAACAACGACGAATCAAAATGAACAACGTTTTGAGAGTCATATCGAATTTTCAAGAATCGAATTACAATCATTTGAATCCGATACCACACGTTCAACGGTATTTGAATTCGATTCGATATATCGAAGAACTACAGAAATTCGTCGAGGACGATCAGTACAAGTGAGTTTGGTTTTTCGTCTTTTTCCTGTTTGTCTCGCCCACGTAACGAACTTGATGATGATACGACAGCACACAACAATACAAAATCATTTTTTTGTTTTATCCGTTACGACAGGAAGAATTAGTCGGATTCCTTCTCTCTCTCTCTCTCTCTCTCTCTCTCTCTCTCTCTCTCTCTCTCTCTCTATCTCTCTCTCCCTCTCCCTCTTTCTATCTCTCTTTCTCTTTCTCTCTCTCTCTCAGGGCCGTGTTTAAATTCAAGCATGTACGTGTTATTTTTTGTTTCAGATTGTCTCTCAGATTGGAACCTCCGTCGTCGGCGCCGAGTTCTTCGAGTTCTAAAGAATCCGTGAGCGAAACGGTTGCATCTCTAAACCTGTCGCCGGCCAAAGGTGGTCTCAGTTCAGGTTCCCTAAGACTTCAAGCCGCTTTAACCAACGGTAACAAATTCGTACCGGGTCATAGAAAATGTCGGAGTCTCGGAACGAAGTGAGTTTTTGTTTTTTTTTTTAAATGAATTTTAACCGTCGCTTTGAGTGCGTGTTCGCGTGCGTGTGTGCGTGTGTGCGTCACACCGTGAAACTAAAAAAGTGAGAAAATTGATTGATTGATTGATTGATTGATTGATTGATCGGTTGTTGTATTTTTGTGTTCTTTCATAGATTTCGTAGTACAAGCCTTCCACGTAATTTATATAATCACATGTTGGGCGGCTGTCATCAAAGTCGATCCCACGGAGCCATGGGGTGAGTGCTCGATAGATTATTTGAGCCTTTGACCACCCCCTGACCCTCCCCCCTCTTTGACCACCGCCCCCGACCCGACCCGTCCTTCTCTTTTCTTTCTTTACAAATTGGATTTTAGCTTTGTAGTTTTTTCAAAAACGAGGTGACCGTAGTTTCTGCTGCTGCTGCTGTTGCTGCTGCTGATGCAAACGCACACCCCAACCACGCTTTTATTTTAAATAAATAATAATAGGATGCACTTGTTTGCTGCTAGCATGTTGTTAATGCATGAAAACTCGTTTTTCTTTTTTTTGTCGTTGGGTACTCGGGTACAAAATTACAAACAAATTTTTTGCAAACAATGAAAGGCGTAGCCCATTTTTTTTTTTTTTTATTCTTCGGCGAATGCGATTGTTGTTTTTGACGTGGTACAAACGTTATCATTATCGTCGGTAGAGGGTGGTGAAAATAAACAAACGATCGGGGTTATAGAAAAATTATAACATGAGAATTTTTAGGAGGTACCACGAATCGGTTAATGATCGGTCGTAAGGTGATGATGATGGTGAGTGACCCCGAAAAAAACAAAAAGAAAATTCACCTGAGCGCCAGGTTTTCACTTTCGCCTATTAATTTCTTTCTTTTGCGTTGGGTTGCGTTTGTTTGTTTGTTGTTGTGTAATTACAAAAAAGAGCAAACAAACAAACAAACGGTCGTGAGTTTTTTAAATGCATTGTAAATTAGCTAATGCGAATTTTTAAAAAGAAAAAAAAGTTGGATTGCATGGAAATTTTTATTTTTTATTTTATTATTATTATTATTATTTTTGTTTTTTTTTGAAATTATTTGCTTTAGCATTTTCAACAAATGCGTTCAGGTGACTCCCTGCGAACAAGATCGCATGTATACAATTCCACGGCACCTTTTAGACGATTCAGTTTTAGAAGAACAACAACAGTGCACGAATTTAAGACTGAACGATTCGATGATAAAAAATGGCGGAGATGGGTGGGACAAAACAAATAATTCGGATAGAAATAAAATATCCGATTATAAAATGTCGAAAGATGGAAGAAATTTCGTTTCCGGTAGAGGCGGAGGCGGTGGAGTAGGAGTAGGAGGAGGAGGGTACGTGTTGCTTAATTTTTTTTTGTGGTTGTCACTCTTTTCCTCTCTCTCTCTCTCTCTCTCTTTCTCTCTCTTCGAAACTTGTTCATCGGGTAGAGATTTAAATAATAAGTAAGGGGACGAACGGTCGTGGTTAAAATCGATTTCATCGGTATTTTCTAGTTCCACGTTAACGATAAATTCGGACGAGTTGAGCGACGAATTATCAAACGATTGTCTCATGCAAGGATGCCTGAGGAGGAAAACGATACTCAAAGATGGTAAGAAACCGGGTGTGACGTCATGGCAAAGGTATTGGGTCCAGCTGTGGGGTTCGTCGCTCGTTTTTTTCTCACCCAAAGGATTCAAAGGAACGGAAAGACACGATTTCAAAAAGGAACCGTGTAAAATGATGGCCATATCCGGTTGGACGGTTTGCCCGACGGAAAATCCACTGCAACCGGATCTTTTTCAAATAGCCGATCTTCAGCGGGGTAATTATAAACTTTTTTCAATGTCAAAGGTCGAGAGACGATGATGATGATGATGATGATGGGTTTGTTGATTTTTGTTCCAGGGAACGTTTATAAATTTCGTTCCGGTAATAAATCGACGGCTTTTCAATGGTGTAAACAATTAACGAGGATCTCGGCTGGCGTAGAGGAAAAACCTTTGCCGGTCAATTTGATGTCTTTCGAATGATGGTCGAGGAGAGGAAAACCTGGAGGAAAATGAGAGAAAAAAATTTTCTTTCTTTCTTTTTTCAAATGTTTGTAAAAATTGTATAAGGGTTCCTCGAAACCTTCGCCCCGCTTTTACATACCTTCGTTCCCTGCGAATCGTTGTATAAATTGTATTTTGTAATAACGACCCGGCCCGCCCCCTCCCTACCCCCCCCCCCCCACAACGTGTAATTTGTAATAATAATAATAATAATGAAAATAAAAATGTCACCTTTTTCGTATTTTTTTTTTTTTTTTAATATTAAATATTTTTTTTTTTAATTAGAGTTGGAGACTGAAAAAGAAAAGAATTTTCTTTTTTTCATTTTTTTTTTTTTTTTTTTTTGGAAAATTTTTTTTTTCTTTTAAGTTTAAATTTGTGTTAAATTTGCGTTTGTGATTTTTTTTTTTGTTTTTTTCGAATACAACAAAAGTAGAAAAAAGTTGTAAGTATCGATTTGTTAATTTAAAAAAAAAGAAAAAGAAAAAGAAAAACGGGAAGTAAATGCAAAAGACGGTTAAAAGTGTTATAAAATTTTCTTTTTATTTTTTTTTTAATATTTTTGTCTCGGGTGAAAATATTATTATTATCATTATCATTATTATTATCATTATTATTATTACTATTATTATTTAACGGGATTTTCCCGTTTCCGAGTCTCAAACGCAAATTAAAAAAAAAAAAAAAAAAATTGTGTTCGTTTCCTATTCTCGAATGACTTTTCTTTTTTTTTTTTTTAAATTATTTATCGCATCTCTCTCTCTCTCTCTCACACACACATTGTCTCTCTCTTTCTCGAACATTGTCTCTCTCTATCTCTCTCTCTCTCTCACCTAAAGTCTTATTAGTAATTAAAAAAATTTTTTTTTATATGTATATTGTAAATCAGATTTTTTTTTTTTTTTTTTTTTTTAAAACCAAAGATGTAACCAAAGTTATAAACTTTTATTATTATTATTATTATTGTTTATATAAAAATAAAAAAAAAAAATTTTTTTCAATTTTTAAAAATGTCTGTGTGTGCGTGTATTTTTTTTTTTTTTTTTTTTTTCGAAACCTGGAAAAACCTGGAGAAAATTTTTACAATTTTTTTCAATTGACGAAACGAGTTGATGACGTCATAATTTTCGAAACAAAACATTCGAATTTGAAATTTTTTTTTTTTTGAACGAATGAATGAATGAATGAATGAAAAACAGAATGAATGTAAAAAAAAAAAGTATAATGAATAGAAAAAAAAAATTTTTTTAAATTTTATTTAAGTTTTGGGGGATAAAGAAAGAGAGAAAAAAAAAAAATTTATTCGTACACCTGCTCGTACGATAAAAACAATAACTTCCGTTTCCGGTTTACAATTTTTTTTTCTTATATATATATATATCAATTATTCACCTGTTAAATTGTAAAAATTTAAAAATTTTTTACGGTTAAATGTTTTTTTTTTTATTTAAACGTAAAATTTTACGGGGGGTGGGAGGGAGGGAGAGGAGGGGAAGGGGGAAAGGGAGGAAAACGAGTCCGAAAATTTCGATTTGACGTAACCATAAACGGCAACATGACGACATTTTACGGCATTACCTTTTTTAACTTATATTCAGGTACGATGATGATAAATCATCCTGTTTTCTTATTTACGCCAAAGACAATTATTATTAATGTTTTTTAAAAATAATAATAATAATAATTACTTCATCGTTTGTTGACGTGCAACAAACAAACAGACAAACCTCAATTCGATTTCTTAATATGGTTAAAAATTAAAAATTTTCGGGTTGGGTTTTGTTGTTTTGTTTTGCATTATCGTACCTTAATAAATAAAACAATAGCAGACGACGTTTGCTTTTTAAAAAAAAAATTTTTTAAATGCGTTTATCCCGTGGGAATACAAAAAAAATATTTCTGTTGTGCGTGGTCGTCGTTTTTTTTTTTTTTTTTTTACATTCCTTAATTTATGAATAATTTTTCGTCTGCTTTTTTTTAATTACTCCATTAATAATGATAATAAACGAGTCAAAGACATAATATTTAATCGTATCGCCGCCATTTTTATTTTTGCTGTCGTCATCGACGTCATCGTGGTCGTCGTCATCAAGTCGGTTCGGTTTGTTTTTTTTTTGTTTTTATGTTTATAATCAATTATTTATTTATTTATTTAAAAATATAGACTTTAAATTTGTTTTCTTTTAAAAAAAAATAAATCAACAGCAAAATAAAACGACAGCAAAAAAACGTCAGAAGTACAAACAAGAAAACAAAACAGCAAAAATATTTTCAACTCATATTTTTTTCCACCATTTTGATTCCAAGTTTACGTGTTTGTTTAAAAAAAAAAAAAAATAAATAGTACAACAGCAGACAGCAGGAATAAAAAATTTAATAATAATAATAATAATCAATGTGTCGTGTCGCATAATAATAATAATAATAATTTATTGAAAAAAATAATGTTAAAAAACTTTATTTCGGCACTGTTGAATAGTTGTTGTGTATGAAAAGGAAGGTACGCGAAGATAATAAGTAGGTTGGTTGTGAATATAAGAAGAAAGCTATAGGGACTCTCACGCTGCGAGCGAGGTTTCATATATCTTTCTCTCTCTCTCTCTCTCATTCACACACTAATTATATTATCTTTCTCACTTTTTTTTTTTTAAAAATAAAACTTGTCGCCTTTACTCTCTGCCTCTCTCTCTCTCTCTCTCTCTCTTTCTTTCTCTATTTCTTTCTCTCGCATTCTTTTTTTCAGTTTCCTGACTGTTATCGGTGACACATGCGCCCTGCATTTTAGGCTCTCTTTAAGAGAAGAATTCTTTTTTTTTTTTTTTTTTTTATGTTATTCATTCATTCCGTCGTTACATGTATTTAGTTTATTTTGTTTAGACAGTGTTTTAATGTGTTGCGGGTAAAAAAAAAAAAAAAAAAAAAAAAAAAAAAAAAAAGAGATTTTGTTTTATGTTTTTATGTTTTTCATAAAATTAATGATCACAATTCGATGTTTTTATATATATATATTTCATTATTCGAAAATAATCCATTTTTAAAATTAATTTCGAGCGTTCGCCATGTTCGCGTTTTACGCTTGTTCTTTTTTGTTTATTTTATTATGTTTGGGTTTTGTTTCGGGTCAACATAACACAACGATACCTTGTTATGATCACACGGGAAAGGCACAGGTACGTATACACATATATAATTTCAAATTAATTAAATTTTATTTAACATCTTCCCTTATAGTATTTTGTTATGTCGTTAAAAATAATAAAAATGGCGGTCGTCGTTTGAATAAAATTAACAGAAAATTTTTTAATTTTTTTTTTTTTAATTATTTATTCGAATACTCGCGTGTTTCGTTTCCTATTAAATATATATATATATATAAAATTATCATTATTATTATTATTATTATGAATGAATGAATTTCGATGTTTCCTTTTATATTACGTCAATCATTTATATATTTTATTTATCTTAATGAATAATAATAATAATAATTTTATCGTTTTTTTTTATATGTAATAAAACGTTTGAATTTTATCATGTAAAAATGGCGGATTTAGCGTGGCAATAGAGACAAACGTTATTGTTTTCATATAAGGGGGATTGTTTGATTTTGTTTTTTTTCTTTTCTTTTATTTTTTCTTTTTTCTTTTGAAATCGAACAAAAGTTAAAATTCTAAAAAAAAAAAAAAAAAAAAAAAAAAAAAGAAAAGTTATTTTTATTGTTGTAAAAATTTTTGAGTTGTTTGTTTGACCGCGCAAGCGTATTCGATTAGGTACCAACGAACTCGTCCCATAGGCCACCCACAATGATTTAAGAATTTTTTTTTTGTTTTCCCTTTTTCTTTTCTTTTTGTTATTATTATTATTATTATTATTATTCCCTTTTGGTTGCTTTGATTTTTAACTAACCATTTGTAGAAAATGTTTAGTATTTAAAAAAATATTTTGAAAAAACCAAATACTCTGTTTGTACATTCACACTTCATTAAAGTTTGTTTGTTTTTTTTTTGTTGAAAAAGTAAATTTTTGGATATATTTTTACAATTTTTAGTTATTTTGTTAGTTTATTATTGTTCAAAGGTTACAAAAATGATGAAAATCAATTTTCATACTTGAATAATAATAATAATATCATTTTTCTATCGAGTGTAATGGAAATTATTCTTCTTTGCCATCTCGAAACATAAAACTTTTTTACTTTGAATATAAATCTATGTATTATCATCATCATTATTCTCATCATTGTATTTAGTTTGTACCAGATTATGTGATTATTTTTTTTGTGTGGTATTCGAACAAACAATTGAATTTGATAAAGTTTAAAGGGTTTTGTGAACTCTCGAACAAGAATGTAAAATTTTACACAATCATAATCGTAATCAAAGTTTACGATGACATATATATATTTTTATTAATAATTTTTTATTAGTTATGTACACAACACATCACTCGTTTAACAATAAGAAAAGAAATTAGTCGTTAAATAAACCATCATTAATAAAAAATTTTTTTTTTGTAATGAAATTGTTATCTACCCACAAAAATTATACAACAGCATTTTAATACGACAGAAAAAAAAAATGAGAAGAGTTTTTAGACGCGAAAATTAGTTTGCGTTTGACTCCCACTTGAAATTTTTTTTATTATAATCAGCTAAATTAGTCAGTTTCCTCACAATTGAAAAGAGTGAGTGAGTGACCTTGTATATAAGTAAAATAATATCATTATTATTATTATTATTATTATTATTATTATTATTATTATTATTAAAAAAATAAAATTGTTTTTTTTCACAGAGATGCGTTCCAGAATTTGGTAATGCTGCATTTAATGTATTAGTCGAAGCAACAAACACATGCGGTATGAACGGACCTACAAATTATTGCATACAAACGGAATCAAGTCAAAAATATTGCGGTTTTTGTTTTCCTCCCGGAAGTCAAGAGGGAGAATCGCATCCCCCGGAATATTTAACGGATTTCAATAACGAAAGAAATCAAACATGGTGGCAATCGGAAACAATGCTCGAAGGAATTCAATATCCGAATCAAGTTAATTTAACATTACATTTACGTAAGAAAATTTAAATAATTATTTCTTTAAAAGAGAGAGAGAGAGAGGGGGGGAGGGGGGAAAGAATGTTTTTAAAAAGATTTTAATTTTAAACGGTTTGAAATAATAATAATAATAAATATTTAAAAATAACTTTTTAATGATTTTTCAACACAAGAGTTGAAAATTAACATGAGACTCATGTTGAATCGTTAATCAATACAACTTATCATACACACACACACACACACACACACATTGATTCTTTAAACTTTTTTTTTCTTCTTCTTAATTTTCAACCCACAATTATTATTATTATTATTATTATTATTTTGTTTTCAGTTAAAGCATATGATATAACTTATGTTCGACTTCTTTTCCAATCGCCAAGACCGGAAAGTTTTGTCATATATAAAAGAACAACACATGATGGACCATGGATTCCTTATCAGTATTTCAGGTTTGTCGACTTGCAACAAAATTTAAAAAAAAATATATATATATATATAAATAATGGAAGAAGAAGAAGATGATGATGATGATGAAGAAAATATTAAATAAAGAATCCTGTAATAAAAAGAAGAAAGAGTGCTAAATTAAATTGGCAACGTGGCACCATTTTTTTGTAAAGTAAAATTTGATGTATGCGAGGGTGGAACCAATTTAAAAAGTTTTCTAGAATTAAAATACGCCTATTTTTAAATGTTTTTTTTTTAACTACGATGATGATGATGATGATGATAAATACAATGTTTTTTGTTATTGTTTCAGTGCAACGTGTAGAGATACGTACGGTCTTCAGCAGCAGGTTTTTGCAAGGAGAGGAGATGAAACGAGAGCATTTTGCACTTCTGAATATTCCGACATGACGCCTTTAACGGGAGGTAGCGTGCCATTTTCAACGTTGGAGGGTAGGCCGTCAGCATATAATTTCGATAACAGTCCAGAATTGCAAGAATGGGTCACGGCCACGGATATAAGGATAACGTTCGATCGTTTGAACACGTTCGGAGATGAATTATGGAAAGATCCCGTAGTTTTAAAATCGTATTTTTATGCCGTCATGGATTTGGCTGTCGGAGCGAGGTGTAAATGTAACGGTCATGCGTTCGAATGCCCCTTGGTCGGAAACGGATGGGAAAGACGTTGTAGGTGCGAACATAACACAGCCGGACCGGATTGCAATGAATGTTTACCCTTTTATAATGATGCACCTTGGAGCAGAGCTACCAAAACTGATGCTCACGAATGTCGAGGTATTTGAAATGCTTAATGGCGGTCAGTAAGTCTAAAAGTTACGTCGATGGCTGACGGTAATTTTTTTTTTTTTTTGTTTGTAGCTTGCAATTGCAACGGTTATTCAAATCGCTGTTATTTTGATAAAGAGCTGTACGAACAAACCGGTCACGGTGGTCATTGCATTGATTGCGTGGGATTCAGAGATGGTCCCAATTGTGAAAGATGTAAAGAAAATTACTTTCAGCAAGAAGGTGGTCATTGCGTTGCGTGTAATTGTAATGAAATCGGTAAGTCAAAAAAATTAATTCGAATTCTCAATCAACGTTTTTGATCGTTGAAATAAATTTTTGTTGGGTTTTTTTTAAGGGTCAAGAAGCAGACAATGCAACAAAGAGGGTAAATGTCAGTGTAAACCTGGTGTCACCGGTGAGAAATGCGATCGTTGCGAACGGAATTTTTACGATTTCGGACCCGAAGGATGTAAACCTTGCGGATGCGTCGTCGGAGGAAGTTTACGAAACGAACCACATTGTGATCCCTCGACCGGAACGTGTCTCTGTAAGGAAAACGTCGAAGGGAAAAGGTGTCAAGAGTGTAAACCGGGATTTTTCAATTTGGATGTTGAAAATGAATACGGATGCACGCCTTGTTTCTGCTACGGACAATCGTCCGTTTGTAAATCCACGTCGGGATATTCAAAAGTCGTAATCGAAAGTTCATTCGCTAGAAGCAATGAAAAATGGTCGGCTGCAGATTATTCGAAACATCCGGCTCCAGTCAGTTACAATGGAATTTCTCAAACCATCGGCGTGCAATCTCAAGGTCATGAGCCAATTTATTTTCTGGCTCCGCAAAAATTTTTAGGCGATCAAAGAGCGAGTTATAATCAGGATTTGGAATTCAAACTTAGGATTGGAGAAACGAACGCTGCTCCGACGGTCGAAGACGTCATGTTACAAGGCGCGGGTTTGTCAATTAGCCAACCGATATTCGGTCAAAACAATCCTCTTCCGTCCGCCCAAGTGCAAAATTATAAATTTCGTTTGCACGAACATTCCGATCACGGATGGCAACCCAGGTTGTCTTCGCGAGATTTCATGTCCGTCTTGGCAAATTTAACTGCCGTGAAAATTAGGGGAACATATTTTCCTCAGGGAGTTGGATTTTTAGACGAAGTTAAATTAAAAACAGCCAGACGAGGAGCTGCGGGACAACCCGCGAATTGGATAGAAACCTGCACGTGTCCCTCGGGTTACATAGGACAGTTTTGTGAAAGTTGCGCTCATAAATACAGGCATGAACCCCCCAACGGAGGACCCTTTGCTCGATGCGTTCCTTGTAATTGTAACGGTCACGCTGATAGCTGCGAGGAAAATACAGGTTTGTTTGATTATTATTATTATTTTTTTTTTGTACGTTTTATTTATTATTCGCAAGATTGTGTGAGTAAAATTTAATGTAAAATTTTAAGGAAGATGTATTTGTCAGCACAATACCGAAGGTGAAAACTGCGAATTATGTGCCAGAGGATTTTACGGTAATTCTTTGGAAGGAACTGCTGATGATTGTAAACCGTGTCCCTGTCCGAACAAAGGAGCTTGCATTCAAATAGGTCCGGGTGAAGATAATATCGTTTGCTTGGAGTGTCCTCTCGGTTACGGTGGGCCCAGATGCGACCTGTGCAGGTAATTGAAGAAACGTCGTAATAACTTTTTTTGATATTATAATTTAAAAAAAAAAAAAAATTGTTTTTTAGTGACGGATATTTTGGAGATCCTAATGGAAAATTCGGAGAGGCTCAAAAATGTCAACCGTGTGATTGTAATACGAACGTCGATCCTAACGCTGTAGGAAACTGTAACAGAACAACGGGAGAATGTCTTAAATGCATTTACAACACGGGGGGTCCGCAGTGTGACCAATGTTTACCTGGTAAATAAATAAAACATGCGTCGTTAATTTACATTTTACAATCACGTACAATAGTTTTGTTTTTTAAGGTTTTTACGGAGATGCCTTAGCCATTCCAAAAGGCGATTGTAAAATGTGTCAGTGCTACAGAGCAGGTACGATGGAAACGGACGGCGGTCCGCCATTGTGCGATCAATTGACCGGACAATGTCATTGTAAACCTCACGTTCAGGGGGTTAATTGTGACGTTTGCGAAGATGGTTATTTCAACATCGTCAGTGGAGAAGTAAGAAAAAGACATTTTTTTTTTTTTTTAGTTTTGTTGTTATTAGATTGCACAATCAATTGATTTTTAATCAATCGTAGGGTTGCGAATCCTGTTCTTGCGATCCCATCGGAGCAATAAACAAAACGTGTGACATAACAACCGGGCAATGCATGTGTCGCGAAGGAATCGTCGGAAAGAGGTGCGATATGTGCGCTCCGTATCATTATGGATTTTCCGAAGAAGGGTGCAAACCTTGCGATTGTGATTTAATTGGAAGTAGCGACCTACAATGTGATACTTCGGGTCAATGTCCGGTGAGTAATATTCCAAATTTAAATAATAGTCGTCTGCTTTAAATTTACAATTAAAAACATTCGAATTTTTATCAGTGTCTCGAAAACGTTGAGGGTAGACGTTGCGATCGGTGTAAGGAAAACAAATACGACCGTCAAAGAGGTTGTCTAAATTGTGAGCCTTGCTATAACCTGGTCCAAGATGCAGCTAATGCCCATCGCGTCAAACTTCGAGAACTTGAAAAATTATTAGACGACATTGCAAACAGTCCGACGGTCATAGACGACGCAGATTTCGAAGATAAATTAAGAGAAGTGCAAGCAAGCGTCGAGGCTTTGGAAAAGGAGGCTAAATACGGAATCGGAGGTAGAGTGTCTCGTTGTTAACCTTTCCAAGGTCCTGATGATTTTTATAAATGACTGAATTGATCGACAGGTGGAAACGAAAGCGTTTTATCCGAAAGATTATCGGAAGTTTCGTCTCGGCTTCAACACGTGAAAGAAATGATAGATGAAGTGAATGACTATCGTATGAAAGCAGACGTCACGATCGAACACGGTCAAAGCAACGTGACTCTCGCGAGAGAAATAGTCGATCGAACGCGAGAACATTTGCAACAAGCGTTGGAATTCGTTCAAGCCGATGGATTTTCAGCTCTTCAAAGAGCTCTGGAAAGATCCGACGAATTCGGACAACAAAACAAACAAATGTCGGAAATCTCGCAAGAAGCTCGACATTTGGCAAACGAGTAAGTTCTCTTACATCATTCGAATCGCCTTTTCCTCTTCGCGCATGCGTATTTACGTCATTCGTTTCTTTCTTTCAGGCATGAAAAGGTAGCCGAATTGATTGGTCAGATAGCGGAAAAATCCGAAAACATATCGACGGAAGCGTATCAAATATCAAAGGACGCCGTGAAAAGGCAAAGAAACACGACGGATGAATTGGAAAATTTCAAAAGCGAAATCGGACGAATGGAAGATCGTGTCAATGCGATAAAAGCCGCAGCAGAAGACGCTCAAAATTCTGCCGATCAGGTATAGTTATAGTTATAGGTATATAGGTATAGTTTACCTTCATAAAAAAAGTTTAAAATTATTATATATTTTAAATTAATTTGTTTAAATTATAATTAAGGCGCAATTGGAAGCACTCGGAGTTTACCAAGAAATTTACGATTTGCAACTTCCGGAAATAAAAGCGGAAAAGTTAAAAGAAGAATCGGAATTTTTAATTAATTCGGCGAGGAAAATTAAAAAAGAAGCAGAAGATTTAATACTCGATCATACGGAAACGTGGGAAGAATTATTGAAACAAATTCAAGAATCTCAGGTATGACTTTTTTTGTTTTTCTTTTTTCTCTTCTCTCTAGTTATCTTAAATATCAAAAATTTGTTGTTGTTGTTGTTTGTTGTTTAGTTTTTACTCGAACAAGGAGAAGAACAACAAAACGTCGCCAACGATTTACTTGCGAATGCTGACGTCGCACGAAATAAAGCAAAAGAAGCCGTGAAACTCGGTGAACAAACGATAAAAGAAGCTCAGGATACTTTTACTATTTTGACAGGTACGCGCTATTATTTAAATCAAATCCTTTTCCCGATTATATTTATTTATAAAAGTAACTGAATCGATAATGCTTTCGTGATAGATTTCGAAAAGAAAGTGGAAGATTCGAAGGACAAAGCGCAAGAAGCACTCGCCATGGTCGACGACATTGTCAACATGATTGATTTAGCCGCGAATAAAACGAGAGAAGCGGAAGCCGCTCTACAGGGAGCCGAAAAAAATGCTCAAATTGCGAGAGACGTGGCAAAAGAAGCACAATCGAAATACGCCGAAGAAGCATCGAAGGTAAGTAATAATGAAAAGGAAATTTTTGTAAATAACTCGTTTGTTGTTGTTTTTATTGACGTCATTTTCGTGTCTTTTTTCAAACAAACAGGAAGCTCACGACATAAAACGAGAAGCGGAAGAAACGAAAAAGAAAGCAGGAAGATTACGAGACGAAGCTGATAATTTATCGGGTCGCGTTGCCGTCACGGAAAGCAGATTGAAAAAACTCGAAGAAAAAGCAGAATTGGACGAAGCGTTGACGGCGGAAGCGAAGAAAAAAGTCGGACAAACGAAAATAAGCGTCAACGAAGCTTCGAAACAAGTACAAAAAGCTCTCGCGGATGTCAACGACATTTTAGGCGAACTCCAAGATCTTTCCGATGTCGGTGAGTAGGAGTTTTTTTTTTTTGGAAAAAACTTGGCAACATTGTATCGCAACTTCGTATTTAATTCTATTATTATTATTATTATTATTATTATTATTTCAGATGAAAATTCACTCAACGATTTGGAAAGAAGGTTAGACGAAGCAGAAGAAGAAGTATTAGATTCGAAATTAGATGAAATGATGCAATTTTTAAAAGAGGAAAAAATGTCGCAGGTTTGCAAATCACAACCGAAAAAAAAAAACAATTTTCCGACGGAAAATTTGTAAAAAAAAAAAAAAAAAAAAAAAAATTTGTTTTCTGCTTTTTTTTTTTAGTCTCAATTAATGGGCCAGTATCAAGATGAAGTTGATAGATTAAGAGAAGAAGTTGCAAATATAGAAAAAATAGCAGGTTCGTTGCCGGAAGGATGTTTCAAACGGGGTATTAATTTGGAATTGTAAAAAATCATCATCATCATCATCATTCAACACCGGAAATGACGTTTTTTTACGTAATAAAATGAAAGTTTCGAGTTTTCACATCGATTGGAAAACGTACGGATTTTGCATATAAACAAAAATAAAAACTATGTAGACGTGGTGACGAAAAGTATAATAGTTTTAATAGTAATTATATTAATAATAATGATAATGATAATAATAATAATAATAATAATAATAATAATAATAAATAATAAGTCAGCTTATATCGCTTGTATAAAAATACCGAGAGAGAAAAAAAAAAAATTGATTGTTAGAGCGAAAATAATTTGGAAAATTCGGTTTCTAATTGTAAAAGTTGAAGGGGGGGGGGGAGGGGGAAAACAAATGACGTAAAGAATACGTAAAAGTAACGAACGGTTTCCGGTACGTTCGATGAAAAATTTAAAGAAAAAGAAAATTTCGTTTTATAAAAGGCTTTAATTGTCTTGTTTTTTTATATTTTTTTTTTTTTTATGGTAAACGAACTTCCGGTCACTGGAAACGAACAATTATTATTATTATTATTATTATTATTATTAAGTTTTTTTTTTTAAATATTGTTTTTTATAAATATGTGAATGTTTTTTTTTTTTTTTTTAATGTGTTCGCGCCTTGTTACCATTTTTTATAACCTTATTTTCTCTCTCTATCTATCCTTTTATCCCTCTATCTTTACCCCTCTATCCCTCTATATCTATCCCTGTCTATCTTTATTTCCTTTCCATCTATCTATCTATCTCACATTTATGTATTATACCAAAGAAAGTTTTTTTTTTTTTTTTTTTTTTTTTTTATATATATATTAAATAATAATAATTTTTAAGTTAATAATTAAAAAAAAATTAGTTTTTAGTATTAAAATTATGACAAAATAATATTTAATTTTTAAAGTTAACATTATTATCATCATCATCATCATCATCACTTTTTTTTGTATTTTTTTGAAGGAATTAAATGAAATGATGTTAATTTTAATTGTAAAATTAAAAATAAAAAACGAAAAAAAAAAAATTTGTTTGAATTTTTTATTTTTTTCCCATATAACCCCCAACGTATACGCATTTTTTAATAAGCGAGAATCCAACTTAGCATCTTATTACGCTAAAAAACCTCCTTAGATCTTATGTTTTACGGATACATCGGGAAAAAAATTCGTCGATTAAAAATAAAGTTAAAAATGACCGCGAAAATCCAACGTTTACGATTTATTCTAAAGTAGGTCGACCTTGAATCCAAGGCCAATGGTTTTACATTTCAATTTTGTAAAATTTTTCATGGTCATGATTTTTCAACCAAGGTCGACCTTGAATACAAGGCCACCAGTTTTAAAATTTTATTTTGTGAAAATTTTTCATGGTCACGTTTTTGCATTCAAGGTCGACCTTGTATATTTTACCTGACACACATTTTATTTTAAGCGGGAATTCATTGTTTGAATTTTAGTTTTTTTCTATACCTCCTGGGGTATTATGTTTTTCTAATACATTTAAGCAAATTTTTAGGGTAAAATTACCTTTTTGGGGGGGGGGAGGAGTTGTATTTTATTTTATTCTTTATCTCTTAAGTTTATATAAATGGGGATGGAAATGGTAGGAAAATCAAAAAAAAAAAGGATTTTAAATAAAATTATTTTCCGGAATTCGGTAATTAATCATTATTATTATTACAAATAAATCATTTCATACATATAAAAGTTTAATATTATTAATAATAATAATTATTATTGCACTTGTTCCGCTTTAAAATTTAAAAAAAAATAAAAAATTTCCAAAAACGACGACGACGACGACGACGACGTTTTAATAATAATAATAATTTTTTAATATTATTAAATTTAATTCATTTTATATATATATATATAAAATTCCATTGAACAAAAGATTTTGGAATTTCAAATTCGAAAATTTTCCTTTCATTTTCCTCTCCCTCCCTCTCTCTCTCTCTCTCTCTCTCTTTCTTCTCTCGTGTTAAATTCGTAGCGTTGATGTTGGTGGTGGTGTCGGTAGCAAAAGTATATAAGTTTCCCATACATATCTCATTTCCTCTTTTTCTTCCTCTCTTTTCTTTTTTTTATCCTAAAAATCTAAATGCGTTTGCGTTCTCTCGCTTTGAAAAAAAAATAAAGTTGGAAAGGATTTGCAAATATTCGTCGACAATAAAAATCCAACCGTAAAATATTCCCTTTTTTTTCTTTCTTTTAAATGGAAAAAAGAAAAACAGAGACGAAAAAACCCTACAAATCCTTTTTCATAATAAAATTTTATAGCGTGTACATGTAGGAATAAAAAAAAAAAGGAAAAATGGGGGGCCGATAACTTTTTTTTTTGGTATTTAAATAGTTTACAACGACGATTGTAATAAAAAAATTTAAATGGACAAAACCATAAAAAAAAAAAAAGAAACTGTTTTCCTTTTTTTCCTTTTCCTTTTCCTTTTCCTTTGCTTTCTAACACATTTCCCCCACCACCACCACCACCACCATCATCATCGTCATCATCGTCCTCTTGAGACAAAAAAAAAAAAAAAAAAAAAAAGAAAAAAGTACGGAAGACGCGTGAATTGAGTTTTTTTTTCTTTTCTTTTCTTTTTTTTTTTTATCTTTTAATATTTTTCTTTTGTTTCTTCTCCTTCTGCTGTTGCTGTTGCCTGTGCTGTTGATTCTTCTGTTGTTTGTTTTAGTTTTATTGTCATCATCATTTTTCGTTTAAAACCCGTTCGTTTTTACACATTCATTTGATTTTCCTTTTCCCTCGACGAAACTAGGACGGTTTGATCATTTTATTATCATCATCATCATCATCACCTTTTTCTAAATTCGAATTTGTCGTTGAGGCACTTTGATCATCAGGCACGATTTTCTAAAACCCAAACAATAATAATAATAATAATTAATAATATCATCGGTTAGGTAGGGGTATAAGAAAAAAATTTTCTTCTTCTTACTTCGTATTGTTCGATCCTTTTTCCATTGTCTTTAACTTCTAATTTTTCCATGAGTTCGGATAATTTTTGAGCTTTTCTCAATTCGTTTTGTTCGATTATTGTGCAAAGTAATTTTGTTAAAAGTTCTTTTTTTTCCAATTTAACAAATAGATTTTGTTTCGAGTCTAAAAATTCTTTTTCCGCTTTGTTGTAACGTTTTTGAGCTTCGGCAAAATCCAAAGAAGCTTCTTCGATTTTATTTCTCAGTATTCCAACGTCGCTACTCAATAACAAATCCAATTTTTGTAATTCTTCTTGTATGTGTTGTAACCTTTTGGCTTCTTCCGTCGTTTGTTTCTTCCTTAAAAAAAAACAAAACAAAAACAATTTCAAACATTTTCCGGAAGAGGAAATTTCCTCAAAAATCTCACCTGACAACAGGAGACAAAAATGAAAAAGCTCGCATTATTATTTTATTGTAATCTTTATTTCCTCGTTAAATTTTTTCATTGCAAATGTAAAAAAAAAAAAAAAAAACTAGCAACAAACAACAACAACAAACAACAATGTCGTAATTCGAAAAATTTATTGTGACTTTTGCCCGATAATAAAAATCAAACGTTTTCACCCGGAGTCTTATAATTTATTACGCATTTAAATTTTTTTTCTTTTTTATTGTTTTTAACAACCATTTTGAAATTTGAAAATTCTTTTTTTTTTTTCTCTCTCTCTCTCTCTCTCTTTCGATTTAAATAAAGGGTTAAAAAAAACAAAAAACAAAAAAAAATGAAAGATTTTTTGAATCGTCAAAAAAACCGTTATCAACCGTTACCGTTCGTTCTGACGTCAGTAAACAAATATGGCGGATGGGTAAAAAATACATTTGCGATTACGAAAAGGGTAAATGAATTTAAATTTTAATTATTTTTTTATCTATAAAATTACCTGTCTAATATTATTTTAGCCAACATTTCTTTTCTTTTTTTATTTTGTTCTTCTAAAACTTTTTGCCGAGCTTCGAATATTTCCAAATCGCTTTTTGACATTTCCGTTGATTTTCTATCAACCAATTCGTATGCTTTACCTTCAACTATTTTTATACATATCGGATTCGTACCTATTGACGTTTGAAAATTTGCCGTTGGAAGAGATGTCTTATCAGGTACATTGGTGGTATGAGAAAGGTTTGATTCGTTGATGATTTTATTATCATCATCATTTGTTTCTTTGGTTTTTTTTTTTTCGTTTGATTCCCTGTGTAATTTTGCACTCTCTGGTAGTAAATCATCATTTTCTTTATTCGAAACATTTTTAAGAGATTCATAATTTATTTTGTGCTTTTGTGTTTCACCCGATTTTATTCGATTCAATGATTTTTTACTCGTTGATGATTTTTCTTTTCCCCCTTAAAAAAAAAAAAATTGTCATTAGTAAAAAGATATTTTTTGTTTATCGTTTAAATATTGAATTAATATTTCTATTCATATTACAAATTTTTAATTGTTTTATTTAATTTCAAATCGAAAACAAATGAAATGTAACACAATCAATTTGTCGATATGACAATAAAAATTTGTTTTCAAATAATAATTTTTTTTTTTTTTTTTTTTTTTAATATTAAATGAATTTAATTATTTAGAAATGAATTTTTAATAGAAATCTATAATAAAAAGGGGATTTTACAAAAAAAAAAATTAAACAAATCATTACAACATGACATAAAAATTTTTATAATAGCAAAAAAAAAAAAATTATTTGGTCATGAAGAGTTCAAGGATTTGTGTGGATGTTGAATGAACTCAAAGACAAGATCTTAAACAATTAAGTGTTTTTTGATATAAAATCATTTAAAATGATTTACTTTATCATTCTATTAGTTTATGATAACATTATTTATATGATTTATGGGTAAAAATCACGTGTGGCATATATAAATGTGTGTAAACAAATGATAGCGTTTAAAATTTGACATAACCTCCATGACACACAACAAAAAAAATATTTAACGTCATTCATTTTAAATTAAATAAAAAATACACCGATTCGTGAAAAAAATTAAAAAATTTTAAAAAAATCATTAAGAAATACATAAATAATGATAATTTTTTTTGTAATATTACCTTCGTTTTTATTTTTTAAAAATCCAATATCTTCTTCTGTAAATCCCTTCCACACGCCCGCCATTTTGTTACTTATCGTAATTTAGTTCGTAGATTTATCGCTCGAAGCGCTAGTTGTCATTAGAGATTAATAAATAAATATTTTTGTTTTTATTTATTTATTTTATTCTTGGAGACCACAAAATTTTACAACCGATAAATTTTAAAAAGAAAACCGAAAAAAATTAAAAAAATGAAAAAAAAAAAAAAACTCGAGAGAGAAACGATAAGAATATTAAAGAGAGAGAGAGAAAGAAAAAAAACATTAATTAAAAAACAACGAATACACTCGTAAACATTAATAAACCATTAAAAAACCCATTAAAAAAAAAAAACAATCGAATAAGATTTAAAATTAATTTAAAAAAAAAAAAAAAAACAAAAACATTTGCAAATGAATGGTTTACCAGTAATATATATATATAATTTATTTAATTATATTTAAATATATAATTAATTAATAACGTTTAACAAAATGCACCAAAAGGTTTTGCTCGTTTTACATTTGTTTACATTTGTGGGGGGGGAGGGAAATGAGAGAAAATTTTTATATTAAAAATCTTTTAAAAAAGGAAAAAGACAAAATTTAAAAAAAAAAAAATCATGAGAAGAATCAAAAGTAATAATAAAATTAAATTTTAATATAATTATATAAAATATAGAGAAGAGATAATAATAATTTTTTGTGTTATCAAACATTGTTGTTGTTGAATTTGATTTAAAAAAAAAAAAATCTTTATTTAATTTATTCACTTAATTAAAACAACATTAAATAAATAATAAGAGTGGGAGGGGAAGAGAGAGAGATAGATATATATATATATATACAATTTATTAAAATTAAAAACAATAAAAAACAGAAAAATTTTAATTAGAAAACCCCCCCCCCAAAAAAAAAAAAGAGAAAATTTTTATTTAAAATAAACATTAAAAATTAAATAAATGTTTCTATTTTTTTAATTTCATCGCCATTTTTTTTTTTTTTTTTTACATTCTCATCTTCTTCTTTTTTTCCTTCATTTTCTTTTTTTTTTTTTTTGGAAAAAATATTTTTTCATTCTATCAATTTGGAAAATGAAAGGTCCTAAGTGAGTCGTAAATGTCGTTATAAAATGTTGGCTCGGTTAAAAAATTCTCATTTCTTTAAATTAAACCTTTTTAAACGAGATTTTCCTTTTTTTTTTTTTTTCTCCATTTTCTCCTGGTTGTTGTTGTTATTGTTGTGTACCATCTTTTTATTTTTCATTTCTCTTTATTTTTTCTTGTTCTAATTAATTTCTCTATCTCTCTTTCTCTTTCTCTCTCTCTCTTTATCTCTTTCTCTTTTTTTAAATAAATAAATAAATCTTTTCTTTTTTTTTTTTTTTTAATAATTTAAAAAAAAAAATGTCTTTCGAAAGCGTCGTGTGTAATTATATTATTTAAATATAATCGCATCGTAACGGAATGTTTTTTTATTTTTTTTTTACGAAACCGGAAATGACGTCATTGTAATAAAATAATTGGAACGTGAAAAAAAATGGCGCGGGCGCGGGAACGACCGAATTTAAATTTAAAATTATGTAAAAAAAAAAATTATTTATTTATTTATTAATCGAACTTTTGTTTTTAATAATAATGATGATGATGATGATGATGACGATGATGATGATAATTACGTAATATCTAAAAAAGAAAAAAAGAAAAAAATTTAATGATGATTAATTAATTAATAATAATGTTTGTTTTTTTGTTTGTTTGTTTTTCGTTTGTTGGTTTTTTTTATTTCGTTTAGATTTAATTCATTTTCATCTTCTGCTTTTTCTTATTATTATCATTATTATTATTATTTTATTTTTTCTAAAAACTTTTAATCTGAGAAATTGAAGAAAGAAAAAAAGAAGGAAAAAAAATCTAATTAAACAGATTAATTAACTTCATTTTATGTGGAATCCTTAAAATTTTTCCCCATTTTGTTTTTTTTATTTTTTATTTTTTGGGGGGGGGTGAGGGGATTTGGGAAAGAAATAAAAAAAAACGTTTTGACCGTTTCAAAAAAAAAAAAAAAAATCGTTTAAGACGACAATCGGACTCCATTTTTGTTAATTCCAGATAATAATAAAAATACGTTTGAGAATTTTCTTTTTTTGAATTTCCACCTGTTATCATTTTTAACGAATTTTTATCATTTCGAAAATTTTCTAGAAAATAAATCGCGGATGTAAATACGATGTAAAAAAAAAAAAGAAAAGTTTTCATATCAATTTTTTTTTATTTAAAAAAGAAAATAAGTTTTAAGTTATTTGATAAACGATACTTGCTTTTTTATCTCGAAAAAAAAAAGTTTTCTAGAAAAATCTTTTACCTTTTACCATTTTTTACCTTTTTTTTTTTACCTTTTTCCTTTTAAACTCGTCGATATATGTTTAAAAAAAAAAAAAATTTCATAATCGATTTTATTGATTCCTTGTTTTTCCTTTTTTTCTTTTTACAAAATGAATTTTTAATTTCTAATTTTCCTACAAAAAAAAAAAAAAATTCTATCATTATTATTATTATCATTATTATTATTTTGTTATTTGATTTTAATCTTCGTAGACATGCAACCCCATTATTTTTTACCCTATGTAATTAATTACTTAATTTAAAAGTAATTTTTTTTTTTTTTCTTCATTTTAATCTCTTCCACAAAAATCTATTATTGATTATTTATTTAAACCCATACCCGACAAACAACAACAACAACAAACAACAAACACTTACATGCAGCGTGTAAAACGGTACTTACCAGTATCATCATCACCATCATCATTATTTTATTAAACTTAAAACATTTCGAAAAATCGTGAAAATTTCAAAAAAATTTTCCATCTAACTAATTAACTTGCAACAAAAAAAATTATTATTATTATTATCATTAACAATATTCAAATTATTATCATTATTAATTAACGGTAATTATGACGAAAATTAATAAATAAATAAATTATTTATTATGAAATTATTTATTTAAAAAAAAAAATTCTTATTATCATTAATATAATTACATCATTTATTATTATTATTATTATTATTATTATTATTAATAAATTACAAACTAAATGACTAAAAACACAAACGAAAAAAAAATGACTAATTTAAAAATAATAAAAATAAAAATTCAAACAATTTTATCAGTCGATAAAAACAATCAATCAATCAATCATTCATTCACTCGTTCATTCGATCTTACATTCGTTCAATTTCATCATTTTTGTAATAAATTTATTATTATTATTAATGACGATTTAAAAAAACAAACAAACAAACAAACAAACAATCAAATCTTTGGAATATTTATTTATTATTATTATTATTATTATCGTTATTATTATAAATAATCGGACTTTAAATATCATCGATGATGATGATGATGATGACGACGACGACGACGACGTTTGTCGTTTTCTTCGTCCTTATCCGTGAAGGAATTTTCCAGAATTTTCTTTTAATAATAATTAGTTCGTTAGTTATTGACTAAAATGATGACGTAACGGTTTTACTATTATCATTATTATGGTTCGCGGAATTTAAAAAGGTTAGATTTCACGTCACACAATTTTTTCTCCTTTTAACTTTCATTTCGGAAAATGAAACGGCTATCCATTCGTTTGTCGTACCATCGAACCACGTCAAACCTAAATTGTATCTACCGTTTAAATTAGCGTGTTGACAATGGGAAAACCACCAGCCCCCCTCGTAATTTTGAGCGCAATGAGTATTACTTATGTCTCTATCGGAATCCACGGCGCTGAATTGCATTTTATTTTGATATTCTAATGCGTCGCTCGCGTTTCCGCTATAACCGTACACGTGTATCCTATATCCGTCGTCTGCGTTCGATATGTAAAAACCCTCGTATTCGGCAACCCATTTTTTATCGTAGATATCCGTGAAATCGATTCTTAGTGACGAACAATTTTCCATCGTCAATCTGTGCAATGCTTCGTTACCCAACCAAAATTCACCTGAAAAGGAAAATGGAAAATTAATAATTATTAAAAAAAAAAAAATTAATGATGATTTATTAATGATCATGATAATAATAATACTGATGATGATGATGATGGTGATGATGGTGGTGGTGGTGATAATAATGATGATTTTAAAACAATTTTTGTAATTTTTTTTTTTTTTTTTTGTTTTTTTTCCTCCCCTGTTTGTTATTCTCTTGTAAGGATTTATTAATTTATTTATTATTATTACTATAGTTCTTTTGTTATTATTATTATTAATTGATCATCGTAGGAGGAGAGAAATGAAAAATGGTGGCGGGGGAGGGGTGAAGGGGGGGGCGAAACGACGGAGGGAAAAATTACAAAAAAGTAAAATGAATTGAAAGAAAATTTTGTTTTATTGCTTGGTGTGTGGGATTGTGCGTGCGTGGGTGTGTGTGTGTGTGCGTGTGTTTTTTTTCCCCGAATCTTATCCAAAAAGAATAATTAACTAATATAAAGTGTTTTTGTTGTTTTTTTTTTTTTTAAATAAAAATAAGTAAAAAGAAAATAAAAGGTATTAATGCGTCTCAAAGGAAAATTGTATGTGTGAGAGAGAGAGAGAAAAAGTTTTCCGGTTAAATAAAATAAATTATATTATGAATCGCATAAAATTCGCGGTCAAGACGAAATCTATTTATTATTATTGTTATTATTATTATTATTTCTTTTTTTTCTTTTCTTTTTTTTTTATTTTTTCAATTCAAAACAAGGGAAAAATGAGGAAAAGAAAAAAAAAGATGGTAATAAAACGGATAATTTTCTTTTTTTTTAATAAGGCAATAGATAATAATAATAATACTTTGTATTAAAATAATAATAATAATAATAATAATAATAATAATAATAATAATAATAATAATGTGGGACGGCCCACATTCTTCGGAAAATATTATAAGTAGCACCACCGAAATTCGAGTATTTGTCCCTAAGGAATCGGGTAGAAACCTGGGATAAATACTTAAAAACCCCGACAAATAAGAGCCTTGTCGTGTTTAATAGTGGACATAATAATAATAATAATAATAATAATAATAATAATAATAATAATAATAATAATAAATAATAATGATAATAGTTACTTTTTTCTCTTTTTTCAAAAAATAATAACTTGATAAATGAACAAATGTGGATTTACAAAAGCGTGTAAAGTTGCATAATTATAATTTGTACGGCGTTTTTTTTTCTATTCAATTCTTTCGAATTTGTAAACATTGAAACAACAGCAACAGCAACAACAACAACAACAGTAACAAATATTATATAAGATAAAAAAAAAAAAAAAACAATAAGCAAAACGTTGACGACGAGAATCTGTCTGTAATAACGTTTTTTCGAATAAATAATTTTTAAATCGTAAATATGACGGTAACTCGAGGCTAAAGAAATATTCTCACTCTCTCTCTCTCTCTCTCTATTCGTAAATAATTAGTTACACGTTAATTTACGTTTTAAAAATATATTAAGTTTTCACATCCTATTGATTTTTTTTTTTCTTCACGACGTGTAATTAACGAATATAAACTTTGTGTGAGAAATTTTCAAAAAAAAAAAAAATATTAACGTCACGTTTTGTTATTTTTCGTTTCAGGGCAAGGATTGTGTATTTGGATTCATCGTTTCCCCCTCGGGAAGAGCACTGGGATGCGACGCGAAAGGATTTCGGGAAGATCACCGAGACCTATAGGATCGACTCGTTTCTGGAAGTTTGCAAACGAGGCTGCGTCTCACGCAAAAAGAAAAGCTACGAAAGATGACGACGACGACGACGACGACAGCGGATTCTGACAGGTACGAAGGATGGTCAACTTTTTGATCATCGACTGGAGAAGCGACAGAAATGCAAAGTGGATGCACTACTGGGAAACCCAACAGGAGTAGCGAACCTTCCGGGTCTCTCTCCCTCTTCGAAAGCGGGGAGGAACGATCTCCTTCCTCAAGATGAACCCATCAATTCTGAGAAATATCGATCAACTTCGAGAGAGAGAGAGAGAGAGAGAGAAACGTCCAGAACTGGCAAACCGACGAGGAACCGACATCACTACAAAGCAAGACCAAACATGTTTCAATAATCCGAACCTCATCCTCCATACTCTCCAGATCTTGTCCTCTCCTATCAAGAGTTCCAGTCTCTAATCAGTGATAAATCTTTCAATCCGTAAGCAAAGTAAAAACGCACATTTTGCAAGTAAGACACAACAAAAGAAAGCATAGTGAGGCTTTCTATGAGATGGTAAAAGGTCACAGAACCCAAAGGTTCATACATAACAAAACAAATCAACCCCAAACAACAAATATCGAGTATTCATTCAAAAAGGAAAGAGAAACTTATGAGACAGCTTATATACCAAACCAATTATTGTAAATGGAAAGGAAAGGAAAAAGGAAAGGAAAAAGGAAAGGTCAATAAAATCGTATTGAAAAAAAAAAAGGAAAAACCCTTTGAGTAAATTTGTTTTATATATATAAATGTAATAAGAATATTCTAGAATCAAATATTATAACATAAAATATATTAAATGGAATTTTTTTTTGTTATAAAAGCACATGAAATAATGATAAAATAAAATAAAAGGATCCTTTTAATAGTTTTTTAAAGTGTAGGAGCTCCTATTGTTTATAGCCAATATACCGCGTGTTTATAACATCAATAAAAAAAAAATTCCTTTTTTCCTTTCCATTTTTCCTTTTCTTTCCTTTTTAAAACTCGTAAAGGTTTCTTATCACACACAAAACGTGTATTCGTCCTTTTTCTTTACTTATTTATCACTTTACCTTTTTTTTTTTTTTTTTTTTTTTTAATTTACGATCTTTTTCTATTGTTTTATGTTTTTTTTTTTTTTTTTTATATACTTTTTTTCTTTAAATCTTCTTATTCCACGACAAAAATATCCACGTCAAAGAACGGGAGGGGGTTAGTGAGGGGAGGGGAAAGATAAAAAAATTTTTATTAAAGAGCATTTTATCAGCGTGCATTTTTCACGACCCAGGTGCTTTTTAAAAATAAAAAACGAAGGAAAAGGACGGGAAAACTGGTCAACAAGTAGAAAAAAATATTAATGGGAATGTAAAAGAAAGAAAGAAAAAGGAAAAAAGGAAAAAAAGGAAAAAGAAGAGAAAAAAATTTTTTTTTTTTTTTTTGTTCAAACCATAAATTTTTAAGAATCTTCAATAGATAATTATCTAGACCATTGAAAAAGGGAAAAAATAATAAATTTTATCCCGAAAAAAAAACGGGAGAAAAACTTTTTTTTTGTTCCTTGTTTAAAAAAAAAAAAGGGGGAGGGGGGAGAAAAAGAATCGGGAAAAACATACCCGTAAACTTTTTTTTTTTTTTTTTTTTACTTTTCTTATTATTTTTCCATTCATCCATTTTTTTTTTATTATAAAAAATGGCCGAAAAATAAAAAAATAATTTTTTTTAAAAAAAATTTAAACGGTTGTGATAATTAAGTACTTCCTTTATTTCTCTCTCTCTCTCTCTCTCTCTCTTTCATTCCCATTCTCTTCCTCTCTCTTTTTTTTCATTCAGCACTTTCTCTTTCTCACTTTCTTCCCTTCTTTTGCATATCACTCCCTCCTCTCTTACTTCCTCCGTATTTTTATTCACTCATTTTCTTTTTCTATCTCTGATTCTCTCATTTATTCACCCACTCTCTCTCTCACTCCCATTTTCCTTCTCCTCTAGGCATTTCACTCGCTCATTCTTTTTTTCTGACTCTTTCTCTTTCATTCATTCTTTCTCTCATTCTCTAACCCCACTCTCTCTCTCTCTCTTTTCATTTTCACTTATCACCGTAATTTAAAATAATCAAATCCCATTTCGTTTCGACTTTTCCATCAATTTAAAAAAACGATTCAAAAAAAAAAAAAAAAGGAAAAGGAAAAAACAAAAATTTCCATAGAGTAAACAAACAAAAAATAAAAAAAAAAATATTTTTTACTCTTTTACTCTTTCACATCGGGCGTTTTATCGCGTAAAACAAAAAAAACTTTTTTAAAATATTTTTTACTTTTAATGCCACGCTTTACTACTACTACTACTACTATTATTATTATTATTATTATTATTATTATTATTATCCACCATTAAACACGACAAGGCTACTTGTCGGAGTTTTTAAGTATTTATCCGAGGTTTCTACCCGATTCCTTAGGGACAAATACTCGAATTTCGGTGGTGCCACTTATTATAAGATAGCACCACATCAATTCTTGAAGGTCTTCCTGAGTCCATCTTTATTCGATGGGAACGATTTGTCTCCTGAACTGGGCTCCGGTGACTAACATCTTTGGAGTGGCCAGGGTCAGAAGCAGTGAAATTCACGTTCTCGTCGAGCTGCCTCAGGTCGACAGTAGAACAAGATTTTGTTTTTGGTTCTTACTTTGTCTTGTTCTCATTTTTTTTTTTTTTTTGCTCTTTTTTTTTTAAGCCAACAGCACGTGGCGTTCTCAAACGGTCATCCATCCAAGTTTGCACCACGCCCGATGCTGCTTAACTTCGGTGATCGCACGGGAACCGGTGTGACCAGCACGCTATGGCCGTTGGCTTTTATTATTATTATTATTATTATTATTATTATTATCATTTCAACATGGAATATTTTTCACGTCGTTAATTGTTGTTGTTGTTGTTGTTACCCGGAAAATTTACGATGGTTTTTTTCCCAAAAAAAAAAAGATGGCGTAAAAATTTTAAAAATTCTTCTAGAAATTTCGAATTATTTTATTTATATATACATGTAATAATAATAATAATAAAACCCGTGTTTAATTAATAAATGTTTCGCCTCTCTTTTCCCTCTTCCCCCCTCCTCTCTCCTCATCATTTAAAAAATTATTTCGTAATTATTTAATGTAAAAAAAAATTTTCATTGTTATCACCGCGTACTTATGTGTCTTCACATAAATTCATATTTATTAAAATATTTACAAAAAAAAAAATTTTCCCCCCATTTTCTTTCCTTTTTGTTATTTT